GACAGTTTCAATAACATACAGCCGTCTCGCTTTACGGCAGTGGGTGTAACTCGCTTAGCAGAAACAGCTATTTGTCAGGAGGTAAGTCTCTTAAAATCACATAAAACATGTGCTTGCTTATACTCTGCTTCTATTCACCAAACTATCCGACATTGTTTATCAATCCGGTTTGTGTTGTTGTTCTGTCTTTGAGTCACAAGAGCTTTCTTTCGTGAATAACAACAAACACATGAAGCTAATGCTAACACATGCTGCTAAACACACCAAGTCTGCAAGTCGCAAATCATCTAAAAAATGTGAATTATAAAAGTTGCATATACAGTTTTCTGTAGGAGCAGATGCTGCCCGGTTTATACAGCTTGTTTGTCTTGTGAAATAAAGTAATTTAGAGTAGAACACTTTATAAAAACATGACTATTGTGTTCCTGCAGCATTAAGTACTGCACTTTGTGAAATACACTGGAAACGCCCTATTGGACAAAGATAAATAAGATAATAATAATAATAAGACAATATTTGCTTTGATACCAATTTGGAAGATGTAAACAAGGCAGTGCACAACATGTACAAAAGGAAAGAGTAGAACATAAACAAACAAATATATCTCAAACCAGAAAATAAAACGGAACTAACAAATAAATATATATTGACAGTGGAAGTCAAATAAATACTATGAATGGTCAAATTACAGCTAACAAAATATAAAAGTTGAATATGATTAACATTAGGTGTGCAAGAAACAGCTAATACATGAAATATATATGTAAAAAGTACATTGTGAACACACTATTTAGATGGATTCATTGTATTTTTCGGAGGAAAAAGTGGTGGAGTTCACTTATCAAAGCCACATAAGAAACTAAGGCTCTGTGAGGTCTCTTTTAGCCGGAGGTTAGTTGTTAAATGGGGCGAAGCCTGCGAGCTAGTTCAGGCAGTCAACTCTATTTAAGCTGCCAGGTCTTCCTGCCTCTGCCTCGCTCATGCTGCTCCTGCCACTGCTGTGTTCACTTGCTATTGCTACGTTCATGTTGCTGCTGCTCGCCTGCCCCACCACCACCCCCAGCTTCCACCCCCACCCCCAGCTTCCACCCCCAGCTTCCACCTGTAGGCTCGGGGGGGATAGTTATCTAATCATCACTCAATGTTCTTTGTCAATCTGTGGAGTGATGAGGCCCGAGCCTAGACGCCAAACTCAAACTATATGCTGCTTCTAATAAACATATTAAGAAACACGTGAGTTGTCTGACTGAAATAGAGTTATTGGCAGGAATGACTTCCAGTATCTGTACAAAACGCTGCAGCTTTCAGTGCATATTTTCCAATTTTCGCACGTGAAACTTGAGAGCAATGACTATATGAATATGTTGGCCCGCTATGTTCATTTGCCTCAAGTTATAACTTTAAATACAGTTTTTAAGTCGATTTTTATGCTCTACTACAACTTAAGAGGGAAACATGGACTTGCAGCCACTTCACTTAAAATGACACATGTTCATCTTATATAATACGAAGCATCTTACTGATTTACCCAGTAGTATATTGGCTCCACATTGAGACATTGAAATGCTAGTGTTTTTACTTTAGGTACATGTTGCAGATTTCTTTCTTAAGTGACATTTGGAATGCAGGACTTTACTTGTGATAGAGTAGCTGATGGTATCTCTAAGTGCCATCAGCTAAACCATGCCATACCATCTCTAAAAGGATCTTAACTACTACGAACCGTTCTGTGTGTGTCTCGCTCAGGAGATGCGCTTTGGGTCTCTGGCTGCAGAAACACTGACCGCTGGATCCTTGAGAGCTTTAGCTGTGGTGAGTGTTTCATGATGCACATGTCTCTCACACACCATGCTTTGCTCTAATGTATTTTGGGAACGTTGTTGATAAAGGTGGGCGATATGTAGGGCTGTGCAATTAATCATATTTTAATCGCAATTACGATTTTGGCCTGCCACAATTACGAAAACAACATAATCGAAAAAAACGATTATTTAGCTTTGCTAGGTTGTGACAGTGCAACATATTTGATCTAATTAGTTTTAGTCTCATTTATTTATCATATTTATATATGTTTAGTAGCTTGTGGAAGTGCGCTCCAAAATATTTGTTGATCTTGTTTATTGGTATTTATTATTTTGATATTATTTATTTAAAGGTGGGGTAGGTCATTTTGGAGAAACCAGCTTGAGTGCTCTGGAATTTGAAAAGCCGGACACAGGAATAATTCCCTGGGGGAGGATTAGGCAAATGAGCCGCTGACGTCACTTACCTACCCCACCTTTAAATGTGTTATTTAATTAATTTTTGTATTGGTTTTTCAGTTGAATTATACGTTCAGGGTAATCAACAGTTAAAAAGATACTGTTCAAATTATTATTTGTTTTAAAGTTCAATAAATGGATGTTTTCAAAGTCAATGAATAATCGTATTTAATAATCGTGATATCAATTATTGACCCAAATAATCGTGATTATGATTTTTGCCATAATCGAGCAGCCCTAGCGATATGTCTTAAGATGCACATATTAAAACATGTATTTTATATATATTTATTATTTTGTATGATATTAATGAATACCCATTTTAATGTTGTTATACTGTATTACAACATTAAAACGGGTATTCCTCTCTGAAGAGGATTCAACTCCTTTTTCAATCTATTGTCAATAGACAGATAGATGAATACTTTATTGATCCCAATTTGGGAAATTATTTCGTTACTAAAGCAGCAGTAATTGTTCTTCCTCCTCTTCGTCTTCCTCCTCGTCTTCCTCCTCTTCCCAGACCGTGCTCCTGAGTGTGTTGATGCTCCCGCTGCTGAGGACTGTTGGACTGAGAGTTTTCTCGATGGCCTCTGAGACGTACACACCTGGCTCTCTCTCTGCTGCCTTCGTCACCTGTCCCAACGACACCGTGGCTAAAACCCTGGCCAGGTAACACCATCTGCAACACCTTAGCATCTAGGAAAGAAATCATGATTTTGTTCTCTGAAATCTGACAGATTGCTCAGAATTTACTTTTTTCTCAAGACTCACTTGAAAATCGGAAATCTAACTATTTTCTCAGAAATCTGACTTTTTCTGAATTTTGACTTTTTTCTCAGAAATCTGAATATTTTCTTAGAATTTACTTTTTTCTAAAATAATAATGACTTTTTTCTCAGAATACACTTTTTTCTCAGAATACACTTTTTTCTCAGAATACACGTTCAGAAACCAATTTTTTTCAGATTTAAAAAAATTAATTCAGAAAAAAACATCTGTTCGGAAATCTGACTTTTTCAGAATTTTGACTTTTTTTAATTTCATTTTATCGGAAATCTGCATTCATTCAGATTTTGACTTTAATATCAGAAATCTGCATATTTTTTCTTAGAATTTACTTTTTTCTACAAAAAATAATGACTTGTCTCAGAAATCAAATTTTCTTCAGAATTTTTACTTTTTTCGGAAATCTGACTTTTTCAGAATTTTGGCTTTGTATCTCAGAATTGATTTTTGTCTCAGAATAACAAAAAAGATCTTTTGGTCAGGTCTCACATTTTTCTTCCACATGTGGCCCTAATCCTCTTCTCTACGAAGGTGTTTAGCTGCTGCTCAAATTGCACAGTTACATGCATGTAGTGAAAAATACAATGAACGAAAGGCTTGTAATTTGAATGTTTGAAGTAAACTGTAGTCCTGGCTAAATCAGCAGATAAGAAAAGTCATATGAAACAACATTAATAATAATATCCTGATGAGGACAGAATACATGTATTCATGACATCTTGAAAGTGGGATGTCCCTATATTTTTACACTATTGCTCTAGAAGAAAATGGACAGCCAGAAACAGCATTTGTTACCAGTTCTCTTTCTTGCATATTCATGTGTGACTGATTCCTTATTTCCTTCTGTCTCTCAGGGGTATTGTGGAAAACAAACTAGCTGCTTGCGTCAACATTGTTCCAGCAATCACATCTGTGTAAGTTTTGAGACGGCTGCTTGTCTGTGTTTTTAATATGTAGAAGAATAAGATATACTTTATAAATCCCATAGGGGGAAATTCAGGTTTCACTCTGTTGTTATTGAGTTACAGTTCAAATACACACAAACACATCTGGTGTTTCATTTCTACCTCTGTATTTAAAATTCCCCTAAAGTTGGGTAAAACATTTTATTATTACGAAATAACTTTCAATTCCCGACTACAAAACCTTTTTTAATTTTTAATTTATTTATTTGATGTGTTTATTTTTGTAGTTACTTGATTGATCACAAATTGGGAAATTATTTTATTTTATTTATTAGTATATATCTGTATGTTGTTGCTCCCATCAATCGCCTATGAACTGAGTCTTTCTCAGGCAGCGTCTTTAATAAATGGTTTTACCCTTTTAAAAATGAGTTATTGAGAAACACCGAATGATTCTGACCCCCAGGATGTATTAATGATATCTTCCATCTTCTGACTCCTGCCTTCAGATATGAATGGCAGGGTAAGATTGAAGAGGACAGCGAAGTGATGCTGGTGAGTGATGACCGAGTATTGTAATATTTGATACTCATTTTAATAATTTTAATACTCATACTTTACTTTCTCACGCCTTTAAAATCTGCTATTCAGAAAGATGCTTTTAAGGATCAGAAAGAATACATGATATTCATGTACTAAGATTTTTTTAAATAGAGATTCCTTCCCTTTGTAAAGAAAATATACAATAATAGAAGTATGTTTATGTTTTGGAGTGCATGCATGTGCTCACACTAAATGAACTAACACTAGAGAAACACTAAAGACATTAACACCTCCCCAAACCCCTCTTGCTCTTTTTCTTGTTATGTGTCTTGGAAAATGTATAATAGAATCTAAGGCCCCGTCCACACAGAGACGATTTCAGTTGTATCCGCTAAAGTTCTTCATCGTATAGACGGTTCGTCCACACGAAGCCGAAACGGAGCTGCGGCTTCGGAGCCTGAAAACCTCTCCTGCTCACCCCCACGTCATTGCTGAACAACAACAATGACAGGGTTGCGTTCGTGCTCCAGACGCTACTGACCAGGATACAGATGTTAGTGCAACCATCAGCAACAAGTGGACATGCTCGGGGGGTCTTCTTCGCTGCTTTTGGTGTATTTTGTGGCGGAAGTACAGCGCCACTTACAGGCCCGGCATATGTACTACAGCGTCTCCAGCGGTTTCGAGCGGTTTCGTTTGGACGGAAGACTTTTTTAAAATCGACTTCGGTTCGAAATCGATTTCGTCTCCGTGTGGACGGGGCCTAGATGAGAGAAAAGGCGCGTTCACACCACAGTACTTTTCCCACTTTAGTTCCGATATAGTTCTGAAATGTCGCGTTCACACCAAAAAGAGCCGGAACAAAAATTAGTTAATGAGAACCTTTTTACCCCCTTTTCCGTCCCTGCTAGAGAGCAGGGACTTTCGTGGGAGAAAAAGGTTCCTATGTCTGATTGGCTGGGCGGATTGCAAACCACGCCCCGTAAAACTCCCAAAAAGTTTTGTGAAGCCGCCATTTTATTATCCTCGCATTAGCATTATTATTATTAGCATTAGCATTCGCCCAGTGCACAAACGGAGAGAGACTAACTTATGGCAACACAAAAGAAAACATGGGAGTGGTGGAGATGAGGAGGTGTCGGCGTTCTGGCGATTTACTCGGAAGGCTTCAGTAGAAGCTGCTGGGAGTCCCAGCAGCTTCTACTGAAGCCTTCCCCAACTCCGGGGACTTCCGGCCGGGGACTCCAGGTGGCAGTATACGCCGTGAAGTTGTTTGCGGCCTGCCAGTAAACCCAAAGCAGAAGAAGAAGAAGTGACGTCAGCGGCTCATTTGCCTAACGGCCCGTCCACACAGCAGCGTTAAAAAAATCTTGGAACGCTTCTGCCCATTCACTTTGAATGGGGTGACGTCACTTTGCCTCACTTTTCGCCGAACTGCATTGTGGGAAGCAGAGCGGAGATTTTCAGGATTCAAAGTTGAGCAATGTTCAACTTTTGAAGCTGAGGTGGAAGCGTCAGCCAATCAAATCCCGTTTATGCAAATCTGACAGGTCAAGCGCTAGCCAATCAAACCGCGTGTATGCTGGGAGAGACATACCGCAGGTCATTTCCTCATATTCCAAAACATGGAGGAGAAATGAGCGGTAGGGAATCACCCGGTGCTTTATGACCAGTCCCTATTTACCTACCGGGATACAAACCGGAGGAGCCAGGCATGGAGGGAGGTGGCAGAGACAGTGGTAGGTTTTTCGCCTGTTTGGGGAGTTTATATCCAGTTTACTTCGGGCTTTTTTTGCTTCGTATGTCGGGGGGCGGGAGATTCATGTGATTGGTTGTTGGTCGCGTTGCTCGCAAAAAATCCCCAAGCTTCAGATACGCCCACCTCCAAGACTTTTTTAACGCTGCTGTGTGGACGCTCCGTAATCCTCCCTCAGGGACTTATTCTGGTGTGAACGCGATCTGTACTTAGTTCATGAGAACTAAAGTGTTCTCATGAACTAAGTTCTCATGAACCTTTGTGGGAAAAGTACTGCGGTGTGAAAGCGCCTAAAAACAATACCATTACAGTCATTGTAGGTATTAAGTTAGCAAAACAAACCTCATGAGACGACACACATGTCCAAATAAACACAAAGGTCACAAAAAACGATACATGTTATGAAATTGTAATGTCTAATCAAATGTCTCTCTCTCTCTCCTGTTTAGATGATTAAAACAAGAAGCTCCAAGGTGCCTGCTCTAGCTGAATACGTCCGGTAAGTCTGGAAGAATTTTAGCCATAGCAGACCATTTACATGCACTAAAACCTATAGAACACAGGAGAGGGAAAACCCCAGAAAGCAGAATAGGGCCTCTTTTAAACTTTTATGTTAATGACAGGACTCAAAATACGTATGTTGTGTAGTGAAACTGCTATTTGTCCTCTCCAGCTCTAACCATCCCTACGAGGTGGCCGAGGTGATCAGCCTGCCCATCGAGCAGGGAAACCCTCCGTACCTGAAGTGGATCGAAGGAGTCGTTCCTGAATAATTGCGATTATTTTGACTGATATTTGAGGGAATGGTCATTTTGCATCGTAATTCTGAGGTTCTGTGCCAAACAAATGTGTTCAAAGTCTGTGGGAAAAAGATTTGTGAATGTGGGGATATCTCTAGAGCTCCACAAAACTGTATATTTTTGACAAATATTGAGATCCCTGCGATTTAAATATTGCACCATACATATTCGGATTTTGAAAACGTTTTGATTAACTGTGCACACCTATCCACGACTAAGAGTGGAAGAATGTTACAATTCGATCTGGAAAAGTGTGTGTTCATGCCTCAAATACACAAAACAAGTCTGTCATGGTAACGCTACCTGCTAGAAAAGGTACAAGTCAAGACAAGGTGCCCGTTATGTGAATAAATAACACCACACAGGCCTCTGGTGTACATGGTTTAAACTGTTAAACGGCTAAAACCAGTCATTTTTGTTGCTAAAATACAAAAAAACTTCACTCATAGGTTGTATTTCTATTTTAAAAACTATGAAACAGGTGAAATGTATTCCTTTTTGGTGCAAGACAAAGACACACATTCTAACATGAATACAACTCTGATACGGCTAATACATGTCCTTTTTTGAAGCCATCATTTAAGTCCTTTAAGTGCTTCATATGTTCCCTTTCAGTGTGTACACCTGCTTCTACATCTGTACTCCCTAATTGAAAAGCGTGCTGGATAAACTGACACTAAAATGTAAAAGTGCAAGACATAAGTTCTGATTTCTACTGTGAAAGATCCATATTTCAATAAAGAGGACGATGTTTTTTACAATTTGGTTTTGAGTGTTTTTTTGATACAACAGTATTCAGTGAAGTCGGGATCATAATGACACATAATGCACATATTACTGTATACTTGTATATGTGCAGTAATCCAGGGACACAATTACATACATCAGGTTTTATTATTTACATTACACTTATATATCATTATACACTTAACATCTAAATACAAAGGCAGTCGTTTACAATACACTACATAACACATCTCTGTTATTTAACATTTTGATAACCAATTTTCTTTACATTGACTAAAACTAACACTGAGGTAAATACAGAGAATTATTTATAAAATGTTGATCTTTGCTAAAAAACACACAAAGAAAAACACATGACTTCATTTTTCGAGGAAACTTCTTTTTTTCACAAGCTTAAGGGATACATATTTTATATATAAAAAAAAAAAAAAAAACCCATCTACATGTTTCCGTCATAATTTAAAAGGATTTAATAAATAAATACAAAACTAACCAATCAGAGCAGACTGGGCTCTGGTTTCAGACAGAGGGTGAAAAGAGGTGCTGCAGCACAGGCAGTATGAGAAAAATAAAGAGCTTTTTAAACATTAAATCATGGAGACATGTAGAGACACTACATACTGATATACACCTGAACATCAGCAGGAGAGGACTCTTTAAAGTAGAGACACTACATACTGATATACACCTGAACATCAGCAGGAGAGGACTCTTTAAAGTAGAGACACTACATACTGATATACACCTGAACATCAGCAGGAGAGGACTCTTTAAAGTAGAGACACTACATACTGATATACACCTGAACATCAGCAGGAGAGGACTCTTTAAAGTAGAGACACTACATACTGATATACACCTGAACATCAGCAGGAGAGGACTCTTTAAAGCAGAGACACTACATACTGATATACACCTGAACATCAGCAGGAGAGGACTCTTTAAAGTAGAGACACTACATACTGATATACACCTGAACATCAGCAGGAGAGGACTCTTTAAAGTAGAGACACTACATACTGATATACACCTGAACATCAGCAGGAGAGGACTCTTTAAAGTAGAGACACTACATACTGATATACACCTGAACATCAGCAGGAGAGGACTCTTTAAAGTAGAGACGCTACATACTGATATACACCTGAACATCAGCAGGAGAGGACTCTTTAAAGTAGAGACGCTACATACTGATATACACCTGAACATCAGCAGGAGAGGACTCTTTAAAGTAGAGACACTACATACTGATATACACCTGAACATCAGCAGGAGAGGACTCTTTAAAGTAGAGACACTACATACTGATATACACCTGAACATCAGCAGGAGATGACTCTTTAAAGTAGAGAGACTACATACTGATATACACCTGAACATCAGCAGGAGAGAACTCTTTAAAGTAGAGACACTACATACTGATATACACCTGAACATCAGCAGGAGAGGACTCTTTAAAGTAGAGACGCTACATACTGATATACACCTGAACATCAGCAGGAGAGGACTCTTTAAAGTAGAGACACTACATACTGATATACACCTGAACATCAGCAGGAGAGGACTCTTTAAAGTAGAGACACTACATACTGATATACACCTGAACATCAGCAGGAGATGACTCTTTAAAGTAGAGAGACTACATACTGATATACACCTGAACATCAGCAGGAGAGAACTCTTTGAAGTAGAGACACTACATACTGATATACACCTGAACATCAGCAGGAGAGGACTCTTTAAAGTAGAGACGCTACATACTGATATACACCTGAACATCAGCAGGAGAGGACTCTTTAAAGTAGAGACGCTACATACTGATATACACCTGAACATCAGCAGGAGAGGACTCTTTAAAGTAGAGACGCTACATACTGATATACACCTGAACATCAGCAGGAGAGGACTCTTTAAAGTAGAGACACTACATACTGATATACACCTGAACATCAGCAGGAGAGGACTCTTTAAAGTAGAGACACTACATACTGATATACACCTGAACATCAGCAGGAGATGACTCTTTAAAGTAGAGAGACTACATACTGATATACACCTGAACATCAGCAGGAGAGAACTCTTTAAAGTAGAGACACTACATACTGATATACACCTGAACATCAGCAGGAGAGGACTCTTTAAAGTAGAGACGCTACATACTGATATACACCTGAACATCAGCAGGAGAGGACTCTTTAAAGTAGAGACACTACATACTGATATACACCTGAACATCAGCAGGAGAGGACTCTTTAAAGTAGAGACACTACATACTGATATACACCTGAACATCAGCAGGAGATGACTCTTTAAAGTAGAGAGACTACATACTGATATACACCTGAACATCAGCAGGAGAGAACTCTTTAAAGTAGAGACACTACATACTGATATACACCTGAACATCAGCAGGAGAGGACTCTTTAAAGTAGAGACACTACATACTGATATACACCTGAACATCAGCAGGAGAGGACTCTTTAAAGTAGAGACACTACATATTGATATACACCTGAACATCAGCAGGAGAGGACTCTTTAAAGTAGAGACACTACATACTGATATACACCTGAACATCAGCAGGAGAGGACTCTTTAAAGTAGAGACACTACATACTGATATACACCTGAACATCAGCAGGAGAGGACTCTTTAAAGTAGAGACACTACATACTGATATACACCTGAACATCAGCAGGAGAGGACTCTTTAAAGTAGAGACACTACATACTGATATACACCTGAACATCAGCAGGAGAGGACTCTTTAAAGTAGAGACGCTACATACTGATATACACCTGAACATCAGCAGGAGAGGACTCTTTAAAGTAGAGACACTACATACTGATATACACCTGAACATCAGCAGGAGAGGACTCTTTAAAGTAGAGACACTACATACTGATATACACCTGAACATCAGCAGGAGAGGACTCTTTAAAGTAGAGACACTACATACTGATACACACCTGAACATCAGCAGGAGAGAACTCTTTAAAGTAGAGACACTACATACTGATATACACCTGAACATCAGCAGGAGAGGACTCTTTAAAGTAGAGACACTACATACTGATATACACCTGAACATCAGCAGGAGAGGACTCTTTAAAGTAGAGACACTACATACTGATATACACCTGAACATCAGCAGCAGATGACTCTTTAAAGTAGAGAGACTACATACTGATATACACCTGAACATCAGCAGGAGAGAACTCTTTAAAGTAGAGACACTACATACTGATATACACCTGAACATCAGCAGGAGAGGACTCTTTAAAGTAGAGACACTACATACTGATATACACCTGAACATCAGCAGGAGAGGACTCTTTAAAGTAGAGACACTACATACTGATATACACCTGAACATCAGCAGGAGATGACTCTTTAAAGTAGAGAGACTACATACTGATATACACCTGAACATCAGCAGGAGAGAACTCTTTAAAGTAGAGACACTACATACTGATATACACCTGAACATCAGCAGGAGAGGACTCTTTAAAGTAGAGACGCTACATACTGATATACACCTGAACATCAGCAGGAGAGGACTCTTTAAAGTAGAGACGCTACATACTGATATACAAAAGAGGTGATGCAGCACAAGATTTGATGCATCTGAAGTTTAATTGGAGCAGAAAATAGACTTCGACCTGCTTCCTTTGAAAACTTTATGTGTTGCACATTTCAGAAAGCAAACTGAGGCGAGTTGTTGTCCTGAAATCTCACAGAGAAAAAATACTTTTAAGAAATTCTTATATGTTTGCTCAGCCATGCACACCATTGACGTTGTTCTACAAAAGCTCCACAAAAGCACAAAACACAGAGAGTGAATTATCTGAAGTTACCTCTGTGGGCGGTTTTAGTCCAAGTAAAAAGTAACGTTTTGGGATGGATACTTGTGTTACCTCCCACTGTGATGATTCATACGGTGCATTATCAGCCAGAACAACATGTTTCTGTCCTCTTTTCGCAAAACAGCCACAAACATAAATATATAAAATAATAAATTAAAGATGTGGTCTCTTTTTGAGGCGACCAGTTTCACACCCAAGACTAAGAGTGAGAAACAAAGACAAATGTGTTTGTTCGCTTAGAGTACTCCACAATACTTACAGCCAGTTGTATATTTAAAATAATGCTTCAGGTTTCAATTCGGTTTCAATCCTAAATCATGCCTACGTTTCATTTTCTCAAACTGGGTTAACCCTAACCCCAATTGCATTGATATCGGCACACTATTTCAGCCAAGTATAAAACACCTGACCCCAAGTTTAAGATGTGCATATTGTAAACTATGGACTCCACCTGATTTAAAACTGAGCCTGTAATCTGCCATGTTCTAATATCTGAGAAATGCTTCAAATTCTCTGCCCCAATATCATGTTAGAGACAAATATACAGGGGAACATCCGAGCTTTGTGTAACACCTGGATGTTTTCAGTTTCACTCTCAAGATACAGTGGATTACCGTTGTCCATATAACAGCAATACATACATTTATAACAATATAATAAGATATAATATTATGGTCTTTGTTGCAGTAGATCATGTCGTTATTAAAGTGAACACACATAAAGTGTTACTGCATGTCTGGTAAACTTCACAATGTACTCAGGCGTTTCAGATATTGAAATGTGTTCTTCAGCTTGCCATCTGGTTTCAATCCAACATTTTGAACATCATGCCTGAATAAAGTTTGTCAAAAGGACATTATTTTTGGTAAAAATAAAGCCCTTTTTGAGTAAAACACTGACTCTGTCCTGATTGCTGCACTACCACTTTTCTTTCACTATTTCACAATATATTGTAAAATATGTACTCCCCATTATCTAACACTGAGACTGTAATCTGTAATCACCTAGCAGTCGATTCAATATAAGAGAAATGCGGCAAATACTTTGCACTAAAATCACGTTACAAAGACAAATATACGGGGCAACATCTGTGCTGACCTTCTTGGTGTAACACCTGGACGTTTGTTTTCAAAGTGACAATTAAACAGGGATTTTTTTTGTTTCACACAAATAATACATCTTTGCAATTTAACATTAGCAGGCTAATGCAAAAGTGAGACAATAACCAAGATCCAACCCATATTTTAAGATGTGGATATTGTTAAATATTCACTTGGCATGATCTAACACTGAACCTGTAATTTGTAATTGTTACATTTCTTTGAAACACTTTTAATATCATCCTGTTACAGAGAGCTGATCTCAAGCACTGAGTTATTGTCCGGGTTTTCTTCAGGTTGTGACTTCCTGTTCCTGATTCTACTGATCATAGAGGACGCTACCTCCGCCGGGTCGAAGCCCAAATCTTTCTCTGCTTCATGTTTGACACTCGAGTTCTCCGCCTGAGTCTTTGCGTCTACGCTGTGGTTTCCATTTTGTGCCATTTGGCATATTTCACTCATCTGAACAGCCCCTCCTGTTTCATTGATTTCCTCTTCTTGTTCTTTCCTTCGCACATTGACGCCCCCTTCACTTTTTTGAACTTGCAGCACAATGCCGCCCCACTCCTCTGTCGGGCGATGCAGCTCCATGCCGTTGCTCTTCACCCGTCGAGACGCTCCGCACAGGGCCTTCCTGAAGCCCCTCTTGAAGTTGTCGGACAGAAAGCCGTACAGGATGGGGTTGGCGCAGCTGTTTGCATACGACAGCACAACGACAAACACGTAAAGCCCCCTGAAGTCTCCAGGCAGGACCACCAGCAGGTTGATGATGTTCAGAGCGTAGAAGGGTAGCCAGCAGAGGACAAACACGGCCACCACCACCACCACCATCCGGGTGATTTTACGCTCAGACTTCCTGCGGCGAGAGGACGTGGCCTGGGCCCGCTTTCCAACGCTGCGCACCTGTGAAAGAAAAAGAAGGTTTACCTCTCTTAAGAAAACACATTTTAACCAATAATTTGTCATCTCACCAAAGTCAAAAAAAGCATTTCCTCCATATGTACTTTTCCATTGCAGCTAAGTTATGCCCATCTGAATATTCTGCTATTAAACCAAAATAAAAAAGGTTAAAAGTAAATTCAAAACACTTTTTCCCCAAGATATTTTAACCAGATTTCCCCCATTAAACAACCATGAACAATTTGCATGTTACACTAAAACTCGGACTCATTGCATTATCATTTTTAAATGTACAAAACTTCAACTTGCACACTTGTATAATGTATATAGAGTCCTATGTCTATATTTCGTTTTAGTATATTGGTCTTTCAATATATATGACTTTGCTCTGTATATGTTATACTGTGATCAATAAAGTATATCTAATCTATTCTAGTTTTGTCATTTTACTCTTGAAAGGCATATACAGTACTAAATCACATATACAGTATGATGTGACATACTCACTTCATGTCACATCATGAACTGTATGAATATGAATGAGTAAAAATCCAGTTACAAAGCAAAACAATTGTGCACCTACGCTAAAGATTACGATGTTATGAAAAACTGATGAGGAAATCTTAAGGTGATTCGTAAGGATATGTTTTTCAAGTTTCTATGGTTAGTAACACTGACGATATCCAAGTAAGAAAACTTAAGTTTGGGGAATACAGAATCGAAGTAATTAATTTCACTCATCTGTGTTTGTGTACACTCCTAACCTTGATGACGATCAACAAGTAGCACAGGCAGATGACCAGCAGGGGGCAGAAGAAGCCCATGGTGCAGGTGTAAACTATAAAAGACGTCTTCCAAACTTCAGCTGGTTCAGGCCATACGATGCTGCAGTTACCGTCGTCCTTCAGCACGTCTGCAAACACCACCACGGGCAGCACCACAACAAACGACCCAGCCCAAACCGTGGCACTGACGGCCTTCACTACACGGGGGCGCCGCCACCAATAAGACCGGATTGGGTGCACTACGGCCAGGTAGCGATCCACTGACATCACCGTTAGGCAGAAGATGCTGGTGAACTGGTTGATGGCGTCCACTGTCATGACCACGCGGCACATTAGCGAGCCGAAGGGCCAAGAGAGAAGAGCGTTCTGCACTGCCAGGAAGGGCAAACCTAGCATGAAGAGTTCGTCCGCGATTGCCAAATTCAGGATGTAGATGTTGGTGACTGACTCCTTCTTGGTGTAGTTGACGACAACGTGGATGACGAGAGTGTTGCCCACGAGGCCAACAACACACACCATACCGTAGATGAGAGGGATGAAGATTCCCGCCAAGCCAGGGAAGGAACTAGGCTCCGGTTTGGTGTCATTCTGGCAGCAGCTGTTAAAGAGGAAAGAGCCGTCGCTCGGGGTGAAGCCGAGGAAAGGTTCAGAAGGAGTGGAGAGGAGCAGGAAGTGGGAGTTGGTGATCCAGGTAGCTGTGGAGGCTTCCTGAGGCAGCTGGGAGGCCTGGATGAGCTCCATGGAGGCTTCAATTAGGCAACGACAACTGATCAGATCCCATCAGTGACCGGTCAACAGCTCTATGAGGAAAACAAAGTTAGTAATCATCCATTGGTGTGTTGCAATAAATGTGTACGGATGAAAAAAGTGTGCAGAGCGTAGCTTTGACCTCATTTCTAATTGCTGTTGACCATTGCTTGAACTGAAAGATTGACGTAAGGTTACAGCGTTAACCTCTTAAGCCCTGAGCCTGTTTTTCAGGTCTCAGGCTTGAAAATGACATTCCCAGAACAAATGACCATATCTTCCCTTCTAAAAGGGTTAAATTAATAATCTTTGTTCTCAAAGTAATGATAAACCTGTGAGTTGGATCTAGAGCCAATGGAATCGAGGGAAAGTTCTATACACCCCAACACGTTAACAAATAAGGAGTGAGAGTGACGCGTGGCCAAAACCGGAAGCTGCATACACTCTGGTGGCTACCATTAGCAGCTAACTTTTTCTCTCCGATTTTTACATAAAAATGGAATTATGGATTATAAACAATTTTACTCAAAGCAACAGATACATTATCAACCTATGGATCAACCGATTCAGCCGCGTTTATTCTCGTTTTAATGCCATTGAACACGTCTTTTGACCTAATTGACAGCTACGGTGAGACGATCTCCCGTAAAAGCTCCGTAAAGGTACGTGTTGTGATGTCTGTGTTTGCTTCCCCTGTCGCGAGTTCGGGTCGCTCAGTGATGATACTATACCTATATAATCTGTGGAGTCTCAGCTTTAATCGGATATATTGTATGTGCAGTAACGATAAGTAATAAGGGTATCTTTATCTTGAGTTCTGTGCTAAGTGCGTTAGCATTTTTTCGCTTAGTGCTAATTCAGAGGCTTGGTATTACCCTTGTGTTTTGTTTTGGTAAAAATGGTTCATATCTTCAGTTAGCTGAGATTCTTCCCGTTAATCTGGTGCTACACATTAATAGTTTCATAAATGTTAAGAAGCCCTGAGACACAGTCTCGAAAAAAAAATCGGTGGGGGGGTCCACTGGGGGGACCGTCGTCCTTTATCTTGCTAAACAACATGCAGAAAAAAACCTGTTAGATGATAAGTGAGATAGCAAATTGCAAAGAATCCAACATAAGCAAACACATAAATAGAGCATATTGTGTCTACAAAATAGTGTTGGCAAAATAGATAGACTTCACTGCCATATAACAATAATTACAATATATAACATTAAAATCAGGATATGCATGTAGTGTTAAATGGCTGTGACAGTGCGAGTGACACGTTTCGTCCAATCTCTGACCAGTGAAGCTAGAATACTAAACCACTAATCAACCTAACCACTCTCCTTCCGTCACAACAAAAACAAGCCTTCACCGGAACAAAAACACAACCTATTCACTTCTATTAGTACCAGACTTGTTTATGAAGCCATCCCGGGTTCTTAATAACTACCGTGCCGCACGCAGGCACACCCCCATCCCTCTCAGCCATGGTTAATAATTGGTATTGCGTTAGGAACAAAATGTACTGAGCGATGGAGTAAAATAACAGAAGCCTGTCCTCCACAACCTGGACTTAAGTGCATGAATGGGGAGGTGAGGATAACGGTGAGAGAAAAGGGAAATAAGGCAGGAGGAATCATTTACAGCACTGCGGGATACAGGAAGAAATTATGAGGTATAACATTTTAGAAAAAAATCAACTACAACAAGAGAGAAGGATGTAAAATGTGTTCAAATAAACAACCTGTGTGATTTTCTTTTTGCCATCTCTATAGTACGCTTAGATATTGAAACAAAAATAAATGGGAAAGAAAAGATATTGGATTGTCTTGGTTTTTATATAAACTAAAGGCCAGGAGAAAAATTAATTCCACCACCTCTTGGCATTTCTATCGGTTTAAAAAAACATTAAAATCGTCCTACATTCTCAGTGAGATTAATATATTCTTTCAAGGCTGAATGTAGGAGCCAGTAGACGGAGGTCAGGGCAACAATGACTAAAGGTAAACACCAAAGGACAGTATATTCTCTGTGGCATCAAGAGGACCTGAAATAAACCTACAATATAGGTAACACACAATTGTATTTTTGTCAATATTTTGAGTCAATTTTATGCATTTACTATGCTCTAAAAAAATCCAACTCCTACTAGATATGGAAATATATATAAAACATATATTCACCCATAATTAAATATTTATATAGAAAACCATGTGTTCAAACAACATTTCCCTCACAAAGGTCCCTCAGTGATAATAAAGCACATTAAACCTGACTTGTAACATTAAAAAAAAGCTCAAAATGCAAAGCAAATTGCACAATGTTAATCGTATTGGTGCCATCCTTGAGGATAGAGAAACAAATATACATCAAATTATTTAAATCATTGGACCTTGAAGATCCAGAACACACACACACACACACACACACACACACACACACACACACACACACACACACACACACACACACACACACACACACACGCACGCACACACACACACACACACACACACAAAGGCACCCACACATGTATTCCTGTAAATGTGCCGATGTGAGGTCCATCGGAGTGAGGACCACCTTTTCTTCGATACTAACTAAAGATATAAAAATAAAATAAATAAAACCCGCATTACAGCACACACACACAACCACACACACACGCACACACACACACGCACACACACACACACACACACACACACACACACACACAAACCCATCTTAGCAACCCAAAAGCCCAGAGTAAATGCTTATTATTCCCTTTGTTTGAAGGAATTGATGGTGTTTATGTGTATACAGGTAATACTATAACTAGTTTTAAAAGTTGGAGAGTGTTGAACCTGGACAAAATGTCATAAATGAGGACCAAGTTCCAAAACTGACCACTAGATGGTGTAGTAGCAGATGAGCAAAATCCAACACACCTACACACTTTATCTTATACATAAATGTGTTATTTTAAGATATAGAAGATTTTGGTTTGCGACATGGTGGGGAACACTGTAGTTAGATTTTTTAGAGCGTCCTGATAAAAATGGTGTGTTATCAAAGAATGGTCCTTATTTGTCATTAAAACAAGTACACACACACACACACACACACACACACACACACACACACACACACACACATGTATGTGCTCCTGATTTCCAGGATGTGCAGCACAACACCTGCCAGTCTAATCTCCCACTCTCACAATAGAGCAGACAGACAATCCGTCTTCCCAGAATGCATCTCTGCTTTTGTCTTCCGCTCTATTGTTGGCTGGGAGAAAAACTTCCTGGGAGATGTTGCCATGGCGACGTAAGGTCATGCAATGGCCCAAAAGGCCGTGAACGGAGCAAATCAACGAGACAAACACCAGAGTCATAAAGAAGGCTGATTGAAGGGGAAGTGTGCTTTACATTCACTGTGTGCGTGTGTGTGTGTGTGTGTGTGTGTGTGTGTGTGTGTGTGTGTGTGTGTGTGTGTGTGTGTGTGTGTGTGTGTGTGTGTGTGTGTGTGTGTGTATGTATGCATACTGTGTATCAGCTGGGTGCAGATACTAGGTTTAAAGACATCAGTGAAACTCCACAAAGTATATAAAGTCAGATGTCATTTTTTTCAATAAATCTGTTGCCGTTATTGAATATCCATTTGTCCCCAAAACTGAAATTCTGAATTTCACAAATCTAGATAAAATAAAGATAAGACAGACCTTTATTATATCTTTATACATTGTCATTTACAGTATGTTTGTTGATCTGTTTCAACTGTGTTTTAATGGTATTGGGCTATTTAAATGAAATTGGATTTGATTTGATTTAAATGATTGATCCAAGTAGAGAAATTCAGAATAATGGTGTATTTAGGAATACAAAGGCAAAGCTATCAAACAACTTTATTAATGCTAAACTTTTAGTAATTCTCAGCTCTCAATGGCTTCAGGAAGTCGAAGTTACTCAAACCTGCCTTTAAGATAAGATCTGATCCTTTTACAACAAATACTATATGCTCTTTTTAGGTTTTTACTAACATTATAACCCTGCTAGTAATCTCCAATTTTATTATAAATGTATCAGTAACCAGATTTCTTTATATACCTGTAAGGGAATACAGTTACCTTTTAATATACCTCATTCAATAATATAATCCCTTACTTCCCAAGCCGAATTTACACTAAACTCCCGAAATAACACATCTGCATTTGATAATCTGTCGTGCATTTTAACAAGCTTTAACAGGTCACATCTCTGCCACCTGACACATCTCTCACACAGATTAATGATTCAAAAACATTTCACAAATACATCTTTCACAGCCAGCCACTCAGGGTTTGAATACATTTCAATGGCTGTATTTAATAAAGGCGGTCAGTAATGTCACGCTGTAGTATTGTTGACGCGCGTGAGAGGCCTCTTCATGATTACACAGTGGATACAGGGCTACTTCCTCTATTGACGCCTGTGTAATTACCTCATAGTGAGTCCAGCTAAGTGCAAACAACCTGTGGATGTGACAACAAGGTACCTACTAACACAACTATCTGCCGGGCAAATATTTAGCCTGTCAAAATATCCAAAGCATTGCTATTTCCTTCAATAAGTGCATTCAAGGATATTTGATCTACAGTCATTTTTTTGAGAGCGTTCTTTTTACACTGAGATCAATTTGCATACTCTTGCCCCCTAATTGTTCATTGCTAAAATATGCCATTAACACCTTGCTTTTACATTTAAAGAAATCCTTTACATACGAGACTAACGCATATCTGAATAAAGGACGTACATTGTCGCCATCTGCGTGATTTTGCGTACACAACATAACAGTTTTTCTAGTTACGATCAAAATGATAGCTTACAAGGTAGTATTATTTGAGAGTAGTACCTGTATTGTATAAGTAAACGTAGCTAGGTCTAAGGCCACATTTACACGAGAACGAAACGGCTTGTATCTGCATAGTTTCTCTTACGTATAGCCCTATTATTTACACGAGGCCGTAACAAACGGACCCCACAAACGAT